GGGGTGGGTGTCCCAGGGAGGTGGTCATCATGGGGTGACACCAGTGCTAATGTACCTCATGCTGTCTTGCTTCTGGCAGGAGGGGTGAGGGACATCCCACCATGAGGAGGCAGGACAGGTTAGAGATGGGGATCCCCTTTCCCTGGAAGCTGAGGACCAGGAGAAGCTACGGGTTCCCCCATCTCTGCCCATCCAGCTCATTCAGTCCCAGGCAGCTCCAGGGTTAGATGGGGGCCACGGTGGCCTGGTGACAGTGGCACGCCAGCCTCTGAAGGATGGTTATTAGCTGCTAATTGCTAATGAAGCAAGGTCTGAGAGGGGCTGGTGTGTCCTGGCAGAGCTGAGATGCATCCGGCCCATGTCAGGGCTCTCCTCCATCCCACCCCCAGATGCAGGATGAGTCCCCTCATCCCTCCCCACCGGCACCGGCAGGGCTCCCGGCCTGATCAGGCTTCGCGGCGCTCCTTCATTTAAAGATTTATCCACTTTCATTGTGAAGCCGAATGCAATATTAATGTGCTGAGTGGTGTTGGTGGAAGTCAGGGAAGTCCCCGGCTGGGGTGGCAGGGCCGTGGGGGCACGAAGTGGCAGCAGTGTGGGGTTTGATCCGGACCAGCTGCTTCAACCCCCATGCACCCCGTTTTGGCCAGAGTATCGGCCAGGGTCTTGGCTGGGGTCTCCCCCCTGTCTGTGCCCAGGGAGCCTGTGGGGACAGCCATGGGGCTGTTGGGTGGGGAGCGGAGCGAGGGGCTGGCGAGGGTTGGGCAAGCCGTGCCCACCGCCTCTTCGGGAGCTGCCGAGGGGGTCTCGGCGGCAAGTCCTGGGTGGGGGTGCCGACTGCACCCCACGGCCGCCCCTGCCGCAGCCGGGCTCCCTTCCCCCTCCCCTTTGTCAGCATCTCGGGGCTGCTGCAGCCGCCTCTTCCCACCGCCACCGAGCCGCTGCTGTTTCCATGGGAACAGGTTAGGATGTACCCCCGTCCCCCGCTGCGCCCCAGGGACCCACCGCAGACCCTGGGCCCCCCCTGCTCCCACCTGGGGCTCCGGCTCCCAGAAATGGCTTCCCTTCGGCCATGGGCAACGAGGGACAGCGTGGGGCATCCAAAAATGGGTGCTGGCCTGGCATGGCGGTGGCCTCATCCTGCGCTGGGGAAAGCAGACCCCTTCTGCCCCCCCCCCCCCCAGTGTGGCCTGAGCTGCCCACCCGCCATGGAGCTGCCACCGTCACCCTTCTTCCAGGGCGGGTGGCACCGTCCTCCGTGCTGCAGCCCCAGACGTCCTGGCACCCGTTCCCACGCTCCGAGGAGGATGGGCACGGGGAAGCGGGGAGGACGGCGGCCGTGGCTGCCAGCCCAGCTCCATCCCTCCCCGGGGATGGCACGGGGACGGCGGCTGCCGGGCGGGCAGGACAGAGCCCCTCGAGTGGGGCCAGGGTGTCTGGCAGAGCAGCTGTCCCTGCACAGAGGAGGCCTGCGGCCTCTCGGTGCCATTAATTATGCAAATATAGGGAAGTGTGTCAAGCGGAGCGGAGGATGCCCTGTGGGGCCAAGGATGCTCTGTGTGATGCCCTGCCTGCTCAGCCAGGCAGGCAGAAAGCAGGCAGCCAGGGTCAGGGTGGGCTACGGGTGCGGGCGTGCGTGTCCGTGCGTGGCCCTGGGTATTGGACACGGGGTCGGTTGGCCGCAGGTAACTGGGGCGGTTGTGGTGTGGTGCCGTGCTGCTACCTGGATGCTCACTGGCACCCTCTCTTCCCCTGGCAGACTTCAACTATGGTGCGGACGAGTACGACGCCGAGGGCAACGAGGAGCCCAAGGCGCTGCCGGAGGGCTCGGAAACCATGCCCTACATCGACGAGTCGCCCACCATGTCCCCCCAACTCAGCGCCCGCGGCCAGGAGAGCGGGGACGGTGTCTCGCCCACACCCACCGATGGCCTCGGCACAGGGGTAAGGGGCTCGGGACGCGGAGCTTTGCACTGGCTGCGGTTGAAACTGGGGGCTGCGGGTGCCCGGCTCGGTTGTGTCAGCAGTGGCGGTGGTCCTCTGGTGCTGCTGTGACCTGGGGGACTGTCCCCTGGCATCCCAAACCCTGCTGGCCGTGGCCCTTTGGACTCCGTGGAAACAGCAGAATCCGTGGAAACAGCAGAATCCGGGGACCAGCACCCTGTTCTGCTGCTGGTGGGGAGGGTGCCGTGTCGTGTCCCTGCCTCGTTGTGCCATGCCGGTGGCAGAACCGGGTCGGAAAGCGGGGTCCGGGTGTGGAAGCCCAGTCGGCCTTGCTGGGAAGCCTGGGGGTCCCGGGGTCCCCTGCTCCGGGGAGCCCTTGGGGACAAGGCGCAGCCGCTCCGCCGGGCTGCCGGCTCCATCTAGCGGCACTTGGGGACGAGCTGCCGGCTGGGGAAGGGACACCTTGTCCCCCGTGTCCCCCCCCTTCTTCTTCTGGGGAACTTCGATTTAACCCCTTCTCTCCCTCTGCTCTTCCGAGAGCATCCTCGGGAAGCCCTTGGGATTTATCCAGGGTGTTTCACTGGGAGGGGAGGATGCTTGGAGAGCTGCGGGCCGGGAAACCAAAGGGAAAAAATGTTTTTTCCAGAAGACAAGTTTCTGTAGGGGGTGGG